CCCATAAACACACTACGTAAATTTTGTAAACTTCAGAAGCAGCATGTGGGTGAGCGCATTGATTTTATGAAGGACATCATATAAAGAATAAATTGTGCAGACTTGGAAAGAGGAGGTAGACAGCTTGTGTGCTGTCACAATCTGTGGTCTTGGTCAGTTTGCAACTTTCTAATTTGCGTACGTAATTTTATGAAATTATGAAAGTGTGCATTGTAGGGTTGGGCGTAATCGTATCGTCTGCAATTAATCGTCAGAAAAACATTAATCGATTATTTTTTGGCACTTGACAATTAATATGATTAAAGCCACCAGGCAGACTGACTGGATATTTCCCTGGTCAGTCCGCTTGGTGCTCCTCTCCGCTTCAAATATGACGAACATTTAAACAAAAGTTCTGTAATTTATTTATCAACACAATTTAAAATTTGAAGTACAGCCTGAAGTCTGTGATTTTGACACAGTTTGAAAAAGATTTTTATGAAGAGCAAATCTTTCCCACTAAACTGGTCATGTGACCGGGACATAAGGGTGTCCAGGGACTCCAGGGGATTAATCGTCAAATTAATCGTTGTCGGCTAAACATCACAATTAATCTTGATTAATTGTATTGCCAATATCGCCCAACCCTAGTGCATTGGTGGTGTGTGGGGAGCTCAAAGCGAGCATGCCCTCTTCCAAAATCCTACCTAAAAGCCTGGGCCCTCATCCAAATAAAATATAAGTTGGTTTAAAGTTTTTGTATTATTTGCTGAAAACAAGTTGGAACGTCTCATTTTTTATTTAAAAAAAATATTAAATCAAAAAGTACAATATGGAAAGCTATGCAGTTACAGTATTTGAACTTTTTTTTTTAAACTTCAACCAAAAAGGCATGGATTTTTTTTACTCTAATAACATTTGAATAGGCTGGATGTTTGTGAGACTGAAGGTGATAAGAAAAGCAATTTACGGTAACTTCATAGAGTACTTTTGTTTTTACCATTGCAATAACTCCTTCCTACAAAAGCAGCATAAACTTTTCTACTCTAAAATTAGTGCAGACAGCTTTAATCATTTAACAAACTGATAGGGATACGCTCAGTGAGGGTTTACCTCTTGAAGTGGGTGTAGAAGAGATAAACTTTACAGCAAGCAGCAATTATTTATATGGATTACGTTGGCGCTTGGTGTTGGTTTCCTGCCTTTGCGACAGACTGAATTTGTCAGTTAGTTGGAGACGGGGTATACTGAGCTATTGGTGCCAGAACCACTTTCTGTGAGTCTGAAATTTACCAGTTGTATCATTTGAGAATATAAATTCATCCACAATCCATTTGTGGGTAGCTGGATAGTCAGATGTAGCTCAAATTAAGGTGGATCAGGACAACTGTAATTCAAAAATCTGTTGATTGTAATTTGATACAGAGAAAAGGCAAATAAATGAATTTAATTTTGTAGGTAAAAGAAATGAATGTTTTCTGCAAAAATTAATGGAAATTTTTATAAGAGCTATAGCATAACCCTTTTAAATATTTAATATATCAATTCAAATGATGACTACTGGGGCCTGAATCACACATTTTGTTGCTCTATTTTAAAA